GAGACACACTCTGGCATCCTGCCTGCTGGCTCCTGCCGCCACCTGTGCAGGCCCCATCGGGGGACCGATACCCCACCATTGTGATTCTTCCAAATTCACCACGGGGCACTGAGAACATCAGGAAGTTTTGAAGCATATTTTGCTAGAGTGTATGAATGAAAGGATTTTCTCCCCTGCTTCTTTGCAAGATTAAATTTAATAAGAAATACCATTGATTCTTTGTGTAGAAGTTAAAAAAGATGATTTTAGTTATTATAAAAGGAAAAAATAACTGCCTCCATCTTCCAGTCATCGAATTAACTCCTCACAGGCAAAGCCACATGGAAAGTCTTATCCTCGTCAGAACGTATCATGGTGAGAATGTTATTATTTCTTAGTGCCTGGTCTGGACACTCGTTAATTTCTCGTTGGGAAACCATTATGAGGAAACATCATTGTTATGAAACGAGGCGGGATATTACACAGTGGGCCTCATTTCCTGCCTCTTCCGAACCAGGCTAAGAAGTCTCCAAACACTTTTGTTTTCAAATATTAGTTGTGATATGTGAACTATATACTATATTATGGTGATCTGCAGTATATATATATAATTTTAATACCTTCCTCTGGTAACAGAAACATTTGTAGTTTGTTCAACCAGAGTGGCTTCAAATCTCTGCTAATAAATCCTGCTCCATGTGGAGTAGAGAGTGGATGGGTGGCCTAGAAGGGTCTCTGGTGACCACCAGACAGCCTGGAGGCTCCCCAACACTGTGAGGATGGTCCCGTTCCAGGTCCTGTGCTGTACACGGGGAGGTTTGCAGGGCCCTTAATTATGTTTGGTGCCCACAGTGTGGGTGATTGCATTTCTTTCCTGGTGCACAGAATAAAATAACAGACATTGAAAAGGGTGTTAGTTCAGACAGTTCACTGACAACGACTCAGTTTGATCCCATGGTTGAGTCACAGATTGTTGACTATTAGAGTAAACAAAGACTATTAGAGTAGCATTCATCCCCCACCCCTGCCCTAACTCAACACACACTCTTCACAGATGAGGGCACGGTGCAGGAGCCAGGACATAAACCTGCAGCCCTGGCCGGGTGGCTCCATCGGTTAGAGCGACATCCTGAAGCACCAAGTCTGTGGGTTTGATCCCTGGTCAGGACCCACACAAGAAGCAACCAATGAATCAATGAATGCGTGAATACATGGAACAACAAACCTCTCTCTCTCTCTCTCTCTCTCTCTCTCGTCAATAAATTAAAAGAAAACTCTTAGCTTATTTTTCAAAGGTAGCAGGGAATTTCACATCAATATTATTCGAAAGTTAGATTAGAAACCAGACTAAATTAGATGTTGTATAAACTGTCTCTCATTTGCAGCCACTCCCTTAAGTCATGGGATGATAATATATCCAAACCGCCATGGGCTGCTTTACCTGGTATACATGCCTACGTGTCCCTGAGGTGTAGTGTATGGCACATGGAAAATGTATGTTATAGCAGTATTACATGTAAAAAAACCATTTACTCATTTCACACATATCATTTCATGGATCCCAACGCTTAGTCAACGGAAGGTTAGGTTAAATGCCCCTTTAGGCCCCCTCGCCCGAGATGTAATGGCTTTCTACCAGGACCCTTTGCAGATCCCATTGCGCCCAGCGAATCACCGTCTCCGGGGAGACACGGAGGGCAGCTGGTGGCCTGCCAGGCCTCCATGGACGGTGGAAGCATGTCCCATGGTGGACAGTCCGGGGCAGTGCCAGCCGTGGCGACGCAGGCCCCTCTGCCTCTCCTCAGACACTGCGCAGCCACAGTTCATCTGTGCTCGGAAAGCAAGTCTCATGAGAAGCTGTATGTGCAAAGCACAGGTGGAAAACCTGCCCAGACACGCACTTCCCCCTTAGAGAGGGTCATGGACACGCGGAGCTCACAGAGAGGCAGAGCCACACCACTGGGCGGAGAGCGCCTGAGCCCACAGGTCAGGGGGGAAGCGCACTGTGTCCTCCTGGCTCCTGGGAAATGCTCCAGCCTCTAGTGAAGTTCCCTGTGTGTGTGTGGGGGGGGAAGGGGGGGCGAGGGGAGGGGGGCTTGACATTGTCTCCCAGGGACCCAGAGGCAGGAAGGCAGACAGCAGACAGGGTCGAGGCTCCCTCCCTCCCAGACTGGAGACGGTGGGACACATGAGTGCGATCCAGGAGCCAGGATTCCTGCTTTGTCCAGACCCCAGTGGAGAACCCGTGAATGCCCTGCTAATGCGGAATGTGTCCCGTGACCTCCCCGGGCCCACCCCGAAAACTCAAGCAGCTTTAATGAGCTTCGATTTGAAAAGCATAGATCATGTCGGTACTGACTCTCTTGGATTTACACGGTGATGACTGTAAATAGTAAGGCTTCCGGGCGCTGTCATTGCCGCCTGTGACTGGTGAATCATGGTGGGATGGCTTTTTACATTTATTTTGTTTTTACTGATTTCAGAGAGGAAGGGAGAGGGAGAGAGAGAGAGAAACATTAATGATGAAGAGAATCACTGATCAGCTGCCTCCTGCACACCCTCTACTGGGGATCAAGCCTGCAACCTGGGCATGTGCCCTTGTCTGGAATCGAACCATGACCTCCTGGTTCTTAGGTCGACGCTCAGCCACTGAGCCCTGCAGGCGGGGCTGGGATGGCTTTTTAAGGGTATCCCATAACAGTTCCTTTGTTATCTGAGGCTCCATGGAACGCCAGGATATCCTCACAATTGTGAGCTTAACAGTTTTAATCCATTTCTATGTCCACCTCATGAGAGGAAAAAAATACCCTAGATGTCTACTAGTCTTCTCTTTTGTCCTCTGACCTTGAACGTACCACCCTGTATGAAGATGCCCGACTCCTGTGGATGCCATCAGCACTGGCCGGCTCTTGGCCCACCTGTCCCATGGAAGGGACAGCCGCTCTCCCCGGCTCATCTGTGCTCCCTGCTGGCCACCATGGCCTCTGCCCAAAGCGGGTGGGAATGTTAGAGAAGAGCTTTCTAGTTCCCAGGCGGAGTGGGTGCCTGGACACGTGAGCTCTGAGCTGATGCATCACCATCCACAGGCACTGTGAGCTGGCTGCCCACCCACCGCAGCGGCCTGGCGATTTTCCCTCTCAAACACGCCATCTCCCAAGGCAGGCCCGCCTCCCCATTCCTTTGCAGGTACCCCGCGCACCTATCCTGGGGGTAAGTGTAGTCTCAACTCACAAGAATAATCTCAGAGAGCCAGAGGCAGGCAGCAAGCCGATCTCTTGCATTGGAATTGGGTGGAAGGGGCAGGGGGGGCCATGCTGAATGGCTTTCATCACCCGGCCTGGGCTTTCACGGGGTCTCTCTCAAAGCTGCACACACACTGCTTCTCAGAAGATGGAGCCAGAGATATTTCACAAAGACAGCGGAGCTCAGGAGGGAGAAGGGAAATGAACCTCTATCTTTTCTGGAAAAGAACCGATAAGCCGTGTTTTGCTCACTCGCATTTTGCAGTTGGACACCCGTAGCTCATGAATTATCCACAACTGTGACTCACACCCTTTAATGGGAAGAACTAAAGTCCATCTTAAAGATAAAAATAAATGTACTTCCCCTTAAAAACCAGCACCACACGGAGCTGCTTTCAGCTACAAACTGACATCGCGCCGTTCAAAATCTTTGTCTTGATGGAGTCACCATCATCTCTGTTTCCTGGGAATGACTTGCTAGTATTTTTTGAGACTGAAAAAAAGGCAGCTCTTCTATCCGAGAGCTTCTCCCCCCTTCTCTCTCCTCTCTCTGTACTTCCCTATATTTCCCCAGACCACCTCCCTGGCCTTCTCATTCCTTATCTCCTGATGTAGTCACGATTGCCGTCTTTAGTCAAAATCAGAGGTTATGGCAGACAACAACAAGAAATGTTTGTGTTTTTTAAAAAATGCTTTTATCGTGACTCATAAGTTCAATCCTAAAAAGTAGGAGCCTCCCTTGGGTGGTCGGTCTCTCAGGGAGGAGGCACGCCCAGCCCTGGCTTCCCTCCTGTATCCTCATGGCTCCGCTCTTGGTTTGAAATGGATCAAACTTACAGGACTTTGGCAGCCCACTTCGCCAGCGCTTTCACTGTTAACTACACATTAGAATTGTCCAGTTTATTGCACAGACCAAAATCAACAGGACCTTTTTCCTGGGAAAGAATTAGATCACAGTGTGGTCAGATCAGGTTTTCCTATTTTCAGCTTCTTTTAAAAATAGCACCTATTAGGTCTCCCGATAACGTCTGAAGGACTGGCTAGTCTTGGACATGGAAATAAACATGGCATCGTGAGCATGTTAGTCATGGATCTTGGTTTTTAAACTGTGTACTCTACATACATGTATGCTTGCACACACATATCCCATATGTATTATATATTGTACTGCTGATAGATGTACTTTTCATATATATTGCTTATCTCCATGAGTGACAACTAATTCCTTTATAACCAAGACCTTCTGGGCACGAACACACCTCACCCCCTGGCTTAGCTCTTTGGGCCCCGAGTTAACTCTTTAGCTTGGAGGCAAATGTGAAGACACTGGATCTTTATCTCCCTTCCTTCCTTCCTTCCTTCCTTCCTTCCTTCCTTCCTTCCTTCCTTCCTTCCTTCCTTCCTTATTTCCTTTCTTTCTTTCTTTCTTTCTTTCTTTCTTTCTTTCTTTCTTTCTTTCTTTCATTTCTTTCTCTCTTGTTTTCCATTGAGGCATTGAAAAATATTTTTATTGATTTCAGAGAGGAAGGGAGAGGGAGAGAGAGGTAAAAACATCAATGATGAGAGAGAATCATTGATTGGCTGCCTCCTGCATGCCCCATACTGGGGATCAAATCCGCAACCTGGGCATGTGCCCTGACTGGGAATCAAACTCTGACCTCCTGGTTCATAGGATGACACTCAACCACTGAGCCACGCTGACTGGGTGAGGCATTTTGTTTGTAAGTATGTAATATATCCCTAGAGAAAGAATCCCAGGATTTTCTCGCCTGCGTGTTTTCATTTTGCTTCTTCATGGTCCATGATGCCCGTTGAGATTGTCAGGACAATGAAACCAAACTGACGGGTTGGAAGCAGGTTGTCCTGCCATTTTTCTAGACCTTGGAGTTGCACATCAAATCTGGGGCTGATTACTCCACGCATGTTCAAACTGCCTGTGAAGTTCACAACAATTTCCTCAGCTCTGTGGTCATCAGTTATTTCAACGTCACCAATGTCACCATGCTTCCTCATCACAGTTAGAAACCGGACGATGACTTTGGAGCACGGCCTAATAAGAACCTGGTGTTTGCCTCTCTTTTTGGCATTGTTAATACTCTTCAGAGCAGCGGCCAGGACATTCATGGGCACCACAGAGCAGGACATGGGACCTTGAGTATTTAGTAGTCATGCCCGCCCACTGGGCTGGAACAGCTCACAGCGGCCTTGGCCCCATCCTGCAGGTGGTGTGGGACTCCTGTGATGGGCTTGAGGGACACAGGGAGATTTTTTAGGAAGGAGGGATTTACCTCCGTGTTCTAACAACAGTGTGGAGGATAGCACGCACTTCCTGTGGATTTAATACCCAAACTTCCCCTGGTCCTGCCCTCACTATATTGAAGACCCTGCAGCATCCTAATTGGTCCCCAGTAGCTTACTAGTTCAGTCATGCTGACCTGAGATAACCTGCTTTGCTTGTTTTTAAAAATTTATTTTTATTGATTTCAGAGAGGAAGGGAGAGAGAAAGAAATGTCAATGATGAGAGAGAATCATTGATCAGCTGCCTCCTGAAAGCCCCACATTGGGGATTGAGCTTGAAACCCGGGCATGTGCCCTGACCAGGAATCGAACCATGACCTCCAGGTTCATAGGTTGACGCTTAACCACTGAGCCATGCTGGCCAGGCATGCTTTGCTTCTTCAATCTGTCAATGGGCTGAGAAGGTACGGTAGGGATCATTCCCAAATCATTTGTCCACAAAAGTCTGTATTGCGGAGTACGGCACAAGATTAGTGTTCATTCATCCAATCACCCATCCATTAACTTGTTGATTCATTTCAGAGCTTTTTACTGAGCACCTTGATAAGGCACCGTAGACATACGGGAACACACAGTAGGCTGTTTATAGCTACTCACTATACAGAAGGGACTTTCTTACAGACCCTGGAAAACTGGAGGATGCATTGCAAGAGGAAGAACAGGCCCCGGAGATGAGGCAGCCCTGGAGCCCAGAGGAGACTCACTCAAAAGAAAATACATGTTAAATGCAGGTCAAGGACCAAACCTATCTGAAGGGAGGCAGCCTTCTGGGCTAAACTTTTCCGGGGCTAATTTAGCAAGGACAATGATAGAAGGCAGACCCTGGGGCCTCACTAACTTTACATTTTTTTTTAAAAAAATTTAACGCTATATAAGAACTTTTTTGAGCCCAGCAGGCATAGCTCAGTGGCTGAGCCTCAACCTATGAGCCAGGAGGTCATGGTTCGATTCCTGGTCGGGGCACATGCCCGGGTTGTGGGCTCCATCCCCAGTAAATGGCATGCAGGAGGCACCCAATCAATGATTCTCTCTCATCATTGATGTTTTTAGCCCTCTCTCTCTCCCTTCCTCTCTGAAATCAATAAAGATATATTTTTTTTAAAAAAGGACTTTTTTGAAATGAAATGTCAGGGAAGTCTTATCAGGTGTTACACCTGCTGCTCCCTCGGATTGCCAATTATCTGATTAATAAACACATCACAACAATTCACCCTCATTTCTACTTATTTGACTCTGATAAGGGCGGACAGCTCAGACCCTTTCGTGTCCAGTTTCAATTCCATGAAGATAAAGGCTTCATCTGGACTGTTCCACGTGTATCCCCACTACCTAGAAGTGTACCTGGCACATAGGTGCCAAATAAATATTTGTTGATTGGATGATGAGAAAAATATTAAGGGTTAGGTAAATTACTCCAGATTCCAAACCTATCACTGGGTAGATTTAGATATTAAACCTAAGTCTGGCTGGTAGGTCATCCATATGCTTTATTTCATAAGACATAAAATAATTTGAGATGATCCCACTTTTCTAGTCTCAAAATTTATCTTTTCCTTGAAGCTTTGGTAAAATCATCTGGGTTAGCGTTTCGTTGTTGAAATAGTTACAGATTCAAATTATTTAATAGTTATAGGACTGTTTTGGTTTTCTATTTCTTTGTGAGTCAGTTTTTCTAAGCTATACGGTCTAAGAAACTACTTCTCCAAGTTTTCATATTTATTCCCATAAAATTGTGTGTCATTATTTCAGGGGCCCCAGGATCACCCACTTGTTTAGTGATTCACTGGAAGGACTCACACCCCCTGAACATAAAGTTAGCATCACAAATAGGATGTATTGCATCAGAGGATACAGCATCAGAATGGCAGGACAACATACATGTTAGCCAAGGCTAGACGGTCAGGTGCAGGCTTTTTAGTGGCTTCTTCCTGCTGGGGTTGCAAACCTCAAAGACAGTGTGGGATGGCCCACCCAGGAAAGCCCACCTGAGTCTTAGGGTCCACATTTCTTATTAAATTGAAGAGAAGCAATGTGAGCAGCTATAGTGTTGACTGGCAGCCAGGTGCTCTTTGTGGACCCTTCTGATGACTTACATGGTACCGCCAGCCTGGGACAGCCTGAGACCAGTGTCCTTGACACTGATGCCAGGAACTAGTTCTCACGGTTTGGCCAAAGGACCATGCTACGCTTCCAGGTCTCCGCGAAGAGAAGCAAGAATGGAGACAAGCAGACCTGCTGCAAGCACTCTTTCTTCACAATAATATCCTCATATGTTGACGACCACAGCACAGATAGCCTTTTTCTAATATTGTTCATCTGTGCTGACAGCTTTTGCTTAACCATTCTTGCTGGAATTTTATATTCTTTATTCCAGAAACAAATCTTATCTTTAGAATTCCTCTGTAAACTAGTTTACAATATTAGATATTCTAACACATTCTATAAAATGTTATAAAAAGTTAGATTTTATAACTTATAATATATACTGTGTCTCTCTCACATCAATGTTTCTATCTGTCTCTCCACCTCCCTTCCACTCTCTCTAAAAACTAATGGAAAAATATCCTCGGGTGAGGATTAATGACAGCAAAAAAGTCTTGCTCCTCTCTATATCGGGAAAAGTTTCTCCTACAATATTTTTTTATTACCTTAAAATTTTTAATTTTGTATTTAAATTTTTAATCTAGCTAGAGTCCACTTTTATAAAACCATTTTTATTTTTCTCCATTCAATTAACCAGTTTCTGAGCATTATCTCAAATCATCTATATTTTTTCTATTTAATTTTGGTGGCTTTTTATAAGATAATAAATTTTTGTATACAAAGCATCCAACATCTGGCATCTCCCCTTGGATCCATTGGCCTACAGACTGTTCTTACGGGCCAATAAATATCTGTGTTTCCCGAGGCTTTGTAATACACCTTAACATTTGGCAGGGGAGTCCTTCCACTTGGCTCTCCACTTGCAGGTGTTACTGAGTCTCCAGCAACACGCTGTTATATTCGGTGGCAGCCCTACCCCTTGCATATACTTTATACATATAAATAGTCGCCTTACATTTGCACACATTTTAACCAAATTTAGGTTGCACTGTAAATTATGTTGAGCCCATTTGTCCCTATTTCATTGGGTAGTCTTGCACATGACTGCTAATCATTCTCTTGAATTTCATCCTAGTTTATATGTTCCATATTTTAAAAACCAATTTCTTATTGGCAGCCATTTAGATTGTTTCCAATTCTTCACGATTATAAATTTTGCTGCAGTGAACAGCATTGCACATGCATCTTTTTAAACATCTGTGATTGATTCCTTGGGACAAATCGCTGGAAATAAAACTCCACCAAAAATGTGTGCCGTGTTTCCGAGGCTGTCTCCTCCGTGGCCTAATAGCCCGCCAGGCAGTTTGCACTAAGTACACGTTCAGGGAGAGACCATAGGAGTGCCCATCCCATTGTCCCCCACGACACTGAGGCTACCTTTCAATGTAATGGTTGGAAGCATTTCCACAAACGTAAAAAAAAGTATAATCATTAGTAGTAGATGCTGAAACTTTTAGGTCTATGTATCGGCCCCTGGAATGCACGTGTGCATGTATTTCCTCTGTTCACCTTTCCTCTGAGAGGCCCGTCTTTCTTTTCCTTATTTTTAGGAGGTTTTCCTTGTAATGTTTCAGGGACACCGGCTCATAGGTTGCTAATGTGCTTGCTAGTTTGTTCCGAGCGCAGCTGTGCTTCCGGCCCGTTCACTTCCAGCCACACACTTTCGGTCGGTTTACATCCAGCCCTTCACTTCTGAGACGCTCACTTGTGGGTCCGGTGTCATCCCAGCGGCCATTTTATCGGGTTCCGCAGAGTCTTCTCGTTTCCCTCTGGAAAGCTGTTCTCTCTTTCCGTCCCTCCCACCACCTGCACCCTATGCCTGGGAAATGCCTTATGCTTCTTACTAGAGGCCCGCTGCACAAAAATTTGTGCGGGGGGGGGGGGGGGGGCGTCCCTCAGGGGGCAACTCCTGCATTGAGCATCTGCCCCCTGGTGGTCAGTGTGTGTCATAGTGACCAGTCATTCCTAGTCGTTCTGCTGTTAGGATCAATTATTACCCTTTCATTATATAGGATGCTTTCCTGTCTCATGTCCTTCGCTTCCAGCAGCCTTAGCATTTTCCTCTTATTTCAGTGTTTTCTGAGAGCGCAGGAATGCGACCTGCGCCTGCTCTGCATCTCACCTGGAGGGTCTTTACCAACACCCATGGCTTTGTTTCAGTGGTGAAGCTGTCTGCATGGGAGCAGGGCGGCATCCGCAGGGCCTGGGGACATCGCTGGCACAGGCGACATGCAGAGCGCTGCTGAGCTGCAGGCCTGGTGCCCAACTCCGACAGCTCCGTGGTCATGAACCAGCTGACTTTTCAGCACGAGGGATGGCAGGTCACGTGGTGCCCGTCCGCCAGGTCTGGGGGCCTTGGACCGCAGGTCCCCAGCCTGGGCAGCTTTGCAAACCTCCTGTTGCCCCTTATTCTCCAGTGTTCGGCTATTTTGAGCTCTGCCTGCTCTTGTATGTGGGGTTTTCCTCTCTAAAATAAAGTCAGATTTATTGTTTTTGCTTAGGATTATAAATAAAAAGTTAAAACATTAAATATTAGAAGTCAAAACAATTTCCATCCAGATATTGACATTTTAATAAAGTTCTGAGATATTTTCTCCCTCAACGTCTAGAGCACTATATTATTATAGGCGGTGATTTTTAATCATGTTCCCTCTCAACTAAATCTTCTGGATGCGCCCGTGCGGGTAAATAAGTCTGCGCCACCATCACTGATGGATGGGGGCTTTCCTGTTGGGGGATGTGC